GAAGAAGGAACCTTTTTCGGTGGGGAGGGGCTCCGTGTTCCTTGATTGCTTCACAGTTTGCCTTGGGTTTTCCTTTGGTGTTCGATGGGAAATCGAGGTTCAACTTGTGGATAGAGGGGGCCTCGTTCCTTATTTCGGGTTCCTTGGGTCAACGCTCCGACTGTAACACGCCTTCGCCCAGGAGCCTCACCAAAGGCACAGCACGTGCCGAAGAGAGGGGAAGGGAGGGAGGGGGGAGAGGGCGTGAGGGAGGGAGGAAGGGAGGAAGGGAGGAAGGGAGGGAGGGGGCCCCGACGAGGAGCGCAAGGAGAACCAGGTGGCAGCGCGCCCTTCTCGGCGTGGCCCACTCGGGTTCCCTTCTCGACGACGACGACGACGACGACGACGACGACGACGACGACCAGGAGAGCGCCTCCTTCTCGGCCCCTCACCAGGGGGTTGCCAGAGGTGGTCCTGGCCCAAGGTGCCCCCACGTTTCCGCGGGCTTTTGGGGCACTTGGGGTCCTACGGACCTGGTGACGGTGCTCTGGATGATGTAGGGGCCTCCACAGGAATCTTGAGGACACCTTGGGCAAGGGACGCCTCTGGCAACACACGATCCGCATTATCATCCCCGCCCTCCCGGTCAGGAAGATGACGCACGTCTCCTTGGTCCCGCGGGCGGACAGACATTCCTCTTGGTTCTTGGAGGCTGTCTCGCCTTAAGATGCTTGCCAGCTGCTGCGCCTGGCCGAGAGCGCCCTGGGGGCGCCCGAATCGCCCCGAACGGCCACCAGGGGCCTGAGTCATGGCCCGAAAGCCCAGACCTTGTCGCGCTGCAAAGGAAAAATATGACAGAAGATTGCGAGCACGGCTCAGCCTCAAGGAGCCCCTCCGGGGCCCTGGGACCGTCAAAACCGATTCAGGGCGACAAGCCGGCTCTGGGGAAATAAATGGTCGGGAGTTCCCTGGAGCCCTCAACATCACCCAGGCACTCACAGCGCGCCATGTAGAGCAGGAGCGGGTCCCGAAAGTTTGTGGATGTTGTCTGGGGCCCGGGGCGGACACCAAAATGGTCAGAAAACAGTTCGGAATGAAAAGCCAGTTCCCAAGAAGTGGTCTGAATTTCAGGCGGTCCTCGTTGTGAAAAATCACGACATCGGAGGTCTTGGGCCGTGAGAATCCGCGCCGTCGCCTTGATCCGCGTCGTCATTGTCGGTGTCGAGTCTGCGCTGCTGCTCACTGTTTCAAAGCAGTGCCGCCGGCAGTGTGCAGCAGGCGGTCGTTTCACCACTTGGCCAATGTACCTTTGGCGGGGGTGGCTCTCTCTCTCTCTCTCTCTTGCCCTGACCTGCAAGGGGAAGGCGAGCGCCCTTCCAGATGTGGCCCTCCAGAGGGCATCGCTTTCGGCGCATTTTGCCAGGCCTCCCAAATGGGGCTGGAGCAGATGGGGTCGGAGGACGGTGCCGCATCGCCGATGCACCGGCGATGCGGCGCCATCTGGAGCCCAGCTTTCTCCATGCAGACGTCGCCGATGCATTGCCGATCCACCTGGGAGGCCTCCAGGGTCAAAGAGGGGCGCCCTCGAGGGCGCGCAGTGATTCGCGCTTCGCGCTTCGGCTCCGATTCCTCCTTGTCCTCCTCCTCCTCCTCCTCCTCCTCCTCCTCCTCCTCCTCCTCCTCCTCATCCTCATCCTCCTCCTCATCCTCATCCTCCTCATCCTCCGTAGCCATTGTGGCGCAAGACGGCATCTTTTGACTTGCAGCTCAAGCGAGCCTCGGCATGGTTTGTTCTGCATTCTGACTTCTGCATTATTTTCTCTGTTAGCAAATATGTTGTGGTTATGCTCCTCGACGATGGAATCGATTTGGCGTGCGGTAAAGTGGCGTGCATTGCTACAAAGGCGTTGCGGCTTGTCACTACCTTTTCGGGCAAGCACCATTCGGGATTACACAGTGCTGTTCACGGCTATCGGCGCATTCTATCGACCCCTGTTCGCCGCCGCCTTCAACATATTGGCATCGCTCACCAATTTCTTCGACATATCACTGATCCGTGGGAGGCCGACTTTTTCGAGCTGCTGGAGTCCGAGTTGCGCGCTGGCTTTCCGGGCTCATGTGGTCGCGTGTGTGCCCCGCGATGGCAACATCGTGCACGCCAGGCGCCTGATGGAGGTCATGATCTATATGTTGCCTCGCCCTCTCGCCTGAGGTACGATGCACCTGAGTTCGTTTCGCGCCAACTGGATTCCTTGGGATCTACACAACAACCGTACACGCCTCCTGCGTCGGATTTGGTGTTCTCTGTCCCTGTGGTGTTGGCAGGCGCTCAAGCTCAGTACGACCTTCAGTTGGATTTGTATCACAAACTGGTTGAAGCGCAGAGTTCGTCTATTGCGAAGCTCCAGGGCTTTCTGGAGTAGCAGGCGAGTGATGCCCTTTCGTTTTCTTCTTCGTCTACTTCCCCAGCGGCTCTACGTTCTGGTCCGACCAGCTGGCAGGCTGTTTTCTGTCGTATTATATTCCGCTCTGTGTGCAAGCTGCATCAGGGGCAGCACTCGTCGACTGCGCAGCCCCAGGGTGCGTCGGAGGTGCTGCCGAGCGATGCCCTTTCTTCTTCGTCTTCTACTTCCGCGGCTCCAGATACATCATCTTGTTCAGGTTTCCATCGCTCTGGTCCGGCGGACGAGGAGACGAACCCAACGATTCGTAGCCGCATTGGGGTGCTAGAGGACCATATTCAAACCCTGCGCCATTCTGTTTTTGATGATGTTAAGATCTGGTGTATCGATTCGGTCCCCAAGGTCGTGTGTCAAGTTGTTCCTAGCATTGTTTCGGATTCGGTACAGAAGAGTATGGATTATTGCATGGAGCTCTGTTCTCGAAAGATTGATGAACTGGCCGATGAGCTGTCTCGTTCTGTGTCGCTGTTGGAAGCCCGTGTCCTGGCGCTGGAAGCGGGCCCGCGGCAGGCTGTTGTCCACAGTCGCGCATCGACTTCACGAGGTCGGTCTCCGTTTTCATCCAGTCCAGGGCCGTCTTCTGGGTATGCGGCTGAGCCTGTGTGCAAGTACGGTCGCAGGTGTCATAGGCTCGATTGTGTTATTCTGCATCCAGAGGGCCGCATCATTGAGGACGACGCGACGCAGTGCAGGCTCATCCCACCAAGCGGGTCGGCCCAAAGGCGGACGCGCTCGGCTGGCTCGCGAAGTCCGCTTCCTCAGTCTGCAGGCTCAGGCGTGATCGACTACTCGAGGTTCGACCGCCTCGACCCTGAATATGAGGATGAGGAGGAGATATTGGCCAGAATGCTCATGACAGAGTTCAGCGGCGATGAGGGTGGTGGTACATGAACGCTACACCTGATTGGGACCAGTTATCTCAACGACTTCTCAGAGCCGGCTTTTTCTTCACAAACCTGTCCGTCATCTACCTCCTCTTGCTCTCCTTCTTGCTCTCAGAGTGTATTATATGGGGCTTCCGCCTCCTCCCATTCCCCGCGTTGCGGGGGGGGGCGATTATCTTCCGAGATTTGATAGAGAATACTCCCTCCGGGTACGCTCCGCCTCATCCTCCTCATCCTCCTCCCTCCTCCCTCCTCCCTCCTCCCTCCTCCCTCCTCCTCCTCCCTCCTCCCTCCTCCCTCCTCCCTCCTCCCTCCTCCCTCCGCCTTCCTTCTCGTTCCCTCCTCCCTCCTCCCTCCTCCCTCCTCCCCCTCCTCCCCCCTCCTCCCTCCTCCCTCCTCCCCCCTCCTCCTCCCTCCTCCCTCCTCCCTCCTCGCTCCTCCCTCCTGTGCCTGGTCCCCACCAAGGAGGCCTCCAGTCTCGGCTTCGGCGGAAGGGCCGCGGGAGGCCGGGGGCGGCCGGCGGCGGTGGCATAGCGGAGGCAGGCTCGGCGGCGGAGGGTCGTGGGAAGGCGGCGGGAGTAGAAGCGAGACGTCAACGTGTTTGGATTCGGGTTTTTTGGAGCCTGTTGGGGGTCGTTTCCACATCTGTCGGCGAGTGTTTGCGCCCAGCGCGTGCTGGCTCGTTTTCCCTGTCGTACTCGTTCCCTCCCGTTTCGCCCGTGTCTCTCCTCTCCTTTGCCTCCCCCTGCCGTTGCCTCCGGTTCCTGTGTGATAGAAGTGTGGGCCTTTGTTTCTGTCATGCGTTGCCTTGTGCTTACCGTAATATGTTTTCGGTTGGTACGAGTGGATACGAGTATGAACGGGTATGAGTACGAGTGAGAATGAAGGTGAGTGGCTATGGGTAGGATTTACTATGTGTGCGAGTGGTTATGAGAATGAGCGAACCCGAGTATGAGAGGGTTTGAGTATGAGCGAGTCTGATTTGAGGGAGAGAGGAGGCGGGTGGTGCGAGGGAGGCAGGACGTGACACTAAATGGGGAAGCATTGAGGTGGTTCGACCTGGTAGCACCACCCACTTTGGATATGGTCTGGCCACATTTGAAGCCAAAGACGGCGCCGCGATTGAGTACAGCACTCTGCGGCCCATGACCACACTTGGCCTGGAAGCTCCGAGTATTATGCCAGGCTTTTCCTGCTCCTCATTATTCCTGCTCCTCTTCCCCCCCCACCGTCGTTGCAGAAACTCGTATTTATGTTTTCATGGTTCTCTCTCTCTCTATCCTTATTTCCCTCTCTCGATACATGTATATATACACACAGAGGAGATGTATACATCTTTATGTATGTATAGTATGGTATATCTCTATGTATACTCACAGAGAGACGTGCGTACCTTCAGGTTGTGTCTCCTTCTCTCTCTCTCTCTCTCTCTTTCTCTCTGTCTATTTCTCTCATTTCTCTCTGTCTCTCTCTCATTCCCTTTCTCCTCTCTCTCTCTCTCGCGCTCTCTCTCGCTCTCTCGTTTTCTCTCTTTCTCTCTCTCTCTCTCTCCCTCTCTCTCTCTCTCTCTCTCCTCATATTGCCCTTCCTCCCCTTTGCCGTCCCCTGTCCATCACTACATATACATCCTTCCCGGCTCCCTCTCCGCCGTCATCGTCCTGTTTCCACGAGCAAGGTGGCCGACCTCGATCAGCAGTTGAGCTCGCTACTGAGCGCCTGCCGCCCAGCGGGGGGCGGCCCGCGGGTTGCGAAATCCATGGGCCAAATTGGAGATTGACGAATTTGGTGGTCCCCCGCTCCTTGTCCTGCTCCTCCTCCATCCTTCTCATAACCTACAGGACCATCCGTCAGGTGATAATGAGCTTAGGGGGGATGGGTGCACCTTGCGGATTGCGATTGGCGTCAGATCGGAGTCGCGATCTACCTATCTAACGATCTCTGTATTTACATTTCGATCCCCATATTTAACGCTGGCAATCGGTCTCATTGCAACAATCTTGATCGGTCCATAAGTCAACATAGATATCAGCATGTGTATACAGAAGTGTCGGTGAGCTCGCTGATTGACCACCAGCAGCGCGTATCAACATTTCAATAAATATCATCGTCGATCGGTCTCACCATGTGTTGATCGACTTCACAATCAGGCTAGCTGGCCGTAGTACGATATATCGGTTATGCACACATACACACATACATATATGTTTACGCTACAGACGGGACAGCCACGGGACAGACGCGGAATGTTTGCCTCACGATCTACCGACACCCACGAGACAACCACGGGAGAACAGCAGGACATCCACGGCCTCAGTATCAATGTAACCTTCGGCATCACTGCCTATCGACCTCTCTATGCATATGAAAGATATGTGCGTATGTATAGGTATATACACATACATATGTATGTCAATCTCGCCACCTATCTATCGACTGATCTTGCAGCTCATCAGTCGCACGATCTATTGATATCACAATCAATGTCACTATCAATATGTGTGTATACATACTCGCCGGTAGCAGTCTCACAATATGTCGGTCCCATAAAGTAGTGACCGTCATCCGCAAGACAACCACAGGACGACCACGGGACAGCCGCGGGGTAACCACGGGATAGCAATCTAATAATATATCGATTTCGCTGTCAATCTTCCGGCATCACTAGTGGTTTCTGGGCCGAACGCACGATCTACTGGCCTCACAATTTATGTGGATTCCTCCGCACGCTTGGTGATATCAGTTACAGGTCGGTATCGTACCTATCGGTCTCACTCCTCACGAATGTCCCATCCATCCACCGACCTCGCCACCTTCCAATCGGGACAACCACAGGGACAACTAACCGGACACCATCGGGACCACCGTCGGGACAACTTGAGAATCCGGCCCGAAGTCTCCAATCGCACGACGGTGCCAGACTGTCGATCCAGCCAGGCCAGAGGCCGTCGGCCCAGCCAGCCGGGGGAAAGGGGGTTTGGCGGCTGGTCGCGGGCGATGGGCGCAGCGTCGGGCACCCGAGAACGAATGCAGGGGCTCCCGCAGACGTTGACGAGGTTCCCCGCTCAGGAGTGTCAACCTCGCCTCGGGCGTCGAAGTCGGGTACGCATCCGCTACGCATCCTATGCGGATCCGAGGCTTGTTGGACGGACCCGATGCGAGTTCGATGGGTTCTGGACGGGTCCGAGCGGTGGGGAAATAGCGCGTTTGGCACGGTTCCTTTCTGACCATTGCGCTTGAGTATAATACGACTTAAGGGTAGCGAAGGACTCCGAAGACGGTTTGCGCAGGGGCACGGAGCTGGGGCGAGAGGGGGGGTAAGGCGCCTTCTAGAATTCTACGCAGGCGATCCTCATAGAACCTTCCTCCAGCGGTTCCTTCTAGAACTTTCCTCGGGCGGTTCCTTCTAGAGCTCTGCCCAGGCGGCTCCTTGCAGAAATTTCCTCAGGCGGCTTCTCTCTCAGCTCGCCCGTGGGAGCTCCTGGTGTCGTGCCTGGGCGCGAACGCGCCCGTGCAGTTTCTGGAGGGCCAGACCCCGGTCATGCGTTGATTCAGTCGCGCTTCCAGTCCAGGCAGATCGCACCAAGTTTACCAGGTTGTCGGCAGGTCAGGAACTCACGCAGTTCCGCTTGGCCCGCACGCACGACACGAAAGAAGCGAAACGATGTCCCGGCTGGGGCACCTCATTTTTCATGTCGGTCTCGTTCCCCAAACCTCCAATCTTCCTTTCTACAAACGCATGCTGGGAAGAGTACGACTCTCCCCATCTCCTTTGCCAATGTGCAGTTGGGTTCCCACTTCTACCGCGCATTGTTTTCCACGCACAAGTTTTCAAATATTGGTGATTCAGTCGTGCGGCTTCCTGCCGGAATGCTGTTGGTCTTTCAAAATCGCGTTCCCGCTACAGCTGTTGCCACATTCCAGGGTCGGCGTCACATCAAAAATGCTGAGATGAGGACCATTCTGGGTTCAGGAAGGGCACTTGTTTTCGGACTGGTCCTTCGATCTAGGTCGTGGATCCTGCTCGTGGCCGAGGCTCGAGTGGCGAGACGAGCTCCTCCGTTCTTTGTGTGGCGCTTCTTACAGTATCACGAGTATTGTTTTTTTCTGCCGTTCGGAATGGCGCTCTCGCCCCAGCGCGGGACACGTTTCTAGATCTGTTTCCCTCGTCGTTACCACATTTCCGTTTCCCTCAACCTCCTTTCAATGTTGTTCTCCCTCCAAAGCAATCTTGCTCCCTCGCCGATTGTACAGCAACTTGTACGTTACATCTCACGAATACCACGCGGGAGTCGATATAGCCTGGGACACCCCATTCGGCGAGTTGAGGAGAGTTCTTCGCAGTGAGAAGGGATGGGCGGGAGGGGTAGGATGTCATATGTGGCGCAAGCGCGCTTAGCTTGCCTCTCTCCGCTCTCCCCCCTGATACAATAAGAACAACTGTCAATAATGGAGGTACGAGTCGCTTGCTTTACAGGCACGCTCTGCAAACTCCGTCCTTTCCCTCCTGATGCGTCTCCTCCTCCTCCTCCTCTTCCTCCTCCTCTTCCTCCTCCTCCTCCTCCTCCTCCTCTCCCTCCCTGCCCCACCTTCGCTCCGCATCAGTATCTCTCTTCCTCCTCCCCCTCCTCCTCTAATGTCTCTCATCTCTCCTCCCTCCGCTCTTTCTTCCTCCTCAGTTCCTCTTCCCCCTCCTCCTCAGCAGCACCATCATCATAATCAGCAGCATCGTCATCAGCAGCAGCATCAGCATCATCATCACCCCCATCAGCATCAGCATCATCATCAGCATCCCCATCCTCATCCTCATCATTATCATCGGCATCATCAGCAGCATCATCATCCCCATCTCCATTATCATCATCATCAGCAGCAGCAACATCATCATCAGCATCATCATCACCAGCAGCATCATCATCGTCATCAATGGGACACTTCCCGCAATGACGAATAATTAGTTGCAGGGGCCTATGAAGAGGGAACTTGGAGGGAGGCTTTATTTCAACCTCGTTGATCCGTCATGGATTTACACTGGTCCCCCTCATCCTCCTCCTCCTCCACCTCCTGTCCCTCCTCCCTCCCTCCCTCCCCGTGGGAGGCGTTCTTATGCAAAGGTAATGCCTGTGCGGATGTGTGGGCGGGGAAGGCGGCTAAATGGTCCTGGGATTGTGTCGTCGTCAACACACGCACACACACGCACACCACATTGATTTCTACGACACTGATTCTGCCATGGTGAGCCAGAGGGCGAGGCGTGCTCTTCTCTTTTCTCTGGAGGCTGAGCCGTGGGTGGGAGCCAGACCGTCTAAGAAGCGTGCCCCTCCGCCCCGTAAGCTCGAGCTTGCCTTGGGGAAAAGCACTCATGTCTTCAAGCCCTTCGTAGGCAGATGGCGCTGTCAGTTGTGTAAGCAGAGCGCTCCTCGCTCCCAGCTCCTGGCCGTGGCGGCCCAGGGTTGCTCGCGTGCCCTTGCCGCCGAGGCTGGATCCGCCGACTCTGGTCCCTTTGGTTTTGAGGATAGTTCTTTTTTCGAGCCGCTGAATGGAGACCAGTGGGTTGGCGGAGTGAAGCTCCACTCCTCGCATGGAATGCATTTGATGAAGGAGTTCGGAGTCAGGTTTTTTTCCTCCTGCGGCTTCACCTCCACCGTTGACGGCAGGAGGCTCGCGGCTGAGTGCTTGTCTAAAGGCGAGAAGGCTCCTTCTGGGAAGGGCCGTGAGAACTTCGCCAGAATTCGTGAGACTTCGCTTCCTGCTCATCGTGGGCCTCCTGCGGCCTTTTTGGTGGACAGTGCGGATCGAGCTGTGGCAATTTCGCGTGCTCCTGGCGGGGTCCCTGGGCCGCACCTTGGGCCCACGCCCACGGATGAGGACCTGCCTCGGTCCGCCCAGCAATGTGTCCCCGGGCCCTGGCCAGCGGAAGGAAGCTGGCCGATGAGGAGGACAGCGGCAGCAGCGACTGAGGAGTGCACGTGCGCGCGCATCAGGAGGATCCAGGAGAATCCCTCCCTCCCTCCCTCCCTTCCTCCTCCTCCGTCGGCCGGGTTGGGGTCAGTCAGATCGTGGATCCGCTGGTCGATTGGGATCAGGACTACTGTCGATGCTGGGAGCGCTGGCGCCGTGCCCCCGCACCCGCACCGAGCGCCCCCCAGTGGTGCGGGGGAGAGGGTGCCAGAGAGGAGGCAAGGAGGTAGGAGGGAAGAAGGAAGGAGGGGAGGAGAGAGGAGTGAGATGGAGAGGAGGGGAGGGAGGGAGGGAGGGAAAGGAGAAAGAATGGAAGGGAGGAGGGGAGATAGGAGGGAAAGGAGGGAGGGAGGCAGAAAGGAAGGTTGGGAGGACGGAGAAGGCATGGAAAAGGGAGGAAGCGAGGGGTGAGAAGAGAGGGAGGAGAGATGGAGGGAGGCAGTGGGGAGACCCTCTTCCCCCCCATTCCCCCCTCCTTGTGCAGCCGAGACGCTGAAACGAGGACCACTCTGGGCTCACCATGGGGCCCTTGCTTCCAGGCTGGGCCGCCCCCCAGACCCCAGACCTGGGTCGGGAGAGCTGCTCGTGGCCGAGGCCCGCCCTGGCAAGAGCCCCCCATCCTCCCGCGCTCCTCGCGGCGGCAGTTGGCGACTGCACCCGCGAGAACGCCCTCCCCGCTGCGCGGGCGGAGCTTGGCCCGCACGGTGCGGCGCCCTCGCCCCCACAGCGGCGTCCTCAGCACCGCGCCTCGCCCCCACAGCGGCGTCCTCAGCGCTCGCTCATGGAGGCCTTCGCGGCGGAGGTCTTGACACCGCCTCCTCCGCCTCCGCCTCCTCCTCCTCCTCCTCCTCCTCCTCCTCCTCCTCCTCCTCCTCCTCCTCCTCCTCCTCCTCCTCCTCCTCCCATTCCTTTTCCTCATGATACCTCTTCCCTGTCGCACCCCGAAGCCAGTCGGAAGGGCGGGCCGGGCGTTTCGCTTCCGATTGCCTAGCCATTTTCTGATCCTGAAGCTTACAAGCTGCCAGCAGTGGGGGGCGAGTCGTTTCCAAAATGTGGTTTTCGCTTTAGCGCCACGCACATTCGTTTCAAACAGTTGCAAGGGTTTCACGGATTGAGGGCGCGTCGTTTTCAAAATGTGGCTCTGGTTTCAGAGCCGTTGTTACTCGCTGCAAAAGTGTGGAAGGGCCTCACGGATTGAGGGTGGCTCCTTGTTAAAATCTTGCCGAGCGCCGCGCACATTCCTTTCAATCATTTACAAGGGCTTCACGGACTGAGGGCGGCTCGTTTTCAAAATGTGGCTCTCATTTTAAAGTCGCGGACTGTCGCTTCAAACGTGTGCAAGAGCTTCTCGGATTGAGGGCGGCTCCTTTTCAAAGTGTGGTTCTCGCCTTCGCGCCGCGCACAATCGATTCAAAACTTTGCAAGGGCTTCACGGATTTAGGGCGGCTCGTTTTCAATACGTTGTTTTCGCATCAGAGCCGCGCAGATAGATTCGTTTCAGGAACTTGCAAGAACTCCATGGATTGATGAGGCCCCTTTGAAAAAAGTGTTCTCGCCTTAGCGCCACACACATTCGTTCCGATAAGTTGCAAGAGTTTCACTGCTGCCCATGGCTAACGTGTCAGAAATGGCATGTTGGAGCGATTCCGGATTGTGAAGGCGAAGAATGTGTGTTGATTCGCGGTGCTGAAATCCCAGGAGGATGTTCTGGGTCGATACCGGATCTTCAAGACGAAGCAGTCTGGTTGACCCGTGGCGTTGAACTCCTGGGAATCGTGTGTTTGGCACGCGTCAGGATACACGGTTGTCCCCCAACGGGGTATGTTTTTTCCAGTGGAAATGATTTTTTGCATGGGTCTTGTGAACAGGGAGCTTGGAGGGAAGTGAATGTATTCCAACATCGTGGATGGGTCTTGGGTTTACATTGGTCCTCCTCCTCCTCCTTCCCCTCCTCCTCCTCCGCTTCCTCCTCCTTTTCCTCCTCGTCCTCCTCCTCGTCCTCCTCCTCTTCCTCCTCCTCCCTTTTCAAACAACATCGACGACATCTCACACTACTTCGTATCCCCGAGAGCGTGGCCCTACCCACGGAAGCCCCGCGGGGGGCTCACTGGGGCTCACTGGGGAGACCGCCGACGATGGGAACGGCATCAACCACGCTGTTGCGAGGATGGCTGTGGCCTGCAAGACGTGGCATCAACAGTCCGATCTCCAACACCGAGTTCAGGACCAACAGTCAACATCTACGACCTCAACAACGGCGCAGTTGCCGCCGCTCGCCGCGCGGTGTGATATCCCCGATGTCCCGTCGGCGGCGCGAGGCCTCAACGGCGCTAAAGAGAACAGCCGTTCCGAGTGGGACGTTTGTTCCTCCTCCTCCTCCTCCTCCTCCTCCTCCTCCTCCTCCTCCTCCTCCTCTTCCTCCTCCTCTTCCTCCTCCTCCTCCTCCTCTCCTCCTCCTCTTCCTTCTGTTGCTCTTCATCCTCCTCCTCCTCCTCCTCTTCCTCCTCCTCCTCTCATCCTCGTCTTCCTCCTCCTCCGCCTGGCCATCTCCTCCGCGACCGAGGTCCACGCCAAGGAGCCGCTCTTCTTCTGGCACGGGCCCAAGTGGGCCCTGCTGTCGCGGGTGTGGCACCTCTTCGACGGTGCTGGCGCAGGACGTCCCCGCTCGGCCCTCGTGCCAGGAAGGCTCTCGGCTCCTCATCGCCCCGATTCTGGCCTCCTCTCGCTCTTTCCGGGGCCCATGTCGATACAACCGATATCGGTTCTGGCCGGCCCAATCCGGTTCGATTCCGACATTCCGATGACTCCTTGCGGCCCGATACTTGCATGGCGTTGTTGTGCACCCGGGTTCGGCCGATCCGATTCAATTCCGATTATGTGCCGATGCAGCCCGACTCGATGTTGATTGATCTCGTTTCTTCGATCCCCTTTCTCATCTCTCCCCCCTTCGTCTTCCCCTTCTCTCCTCCTCCTCCTTCTTCTCTTCCTTCTCCTCCACCGGCTGTTCGTCTCAACCTCGCCCCGTCCCGCTCCATGTGTTCTGAGGCGGCCGTCCTCTGCAACGGAGCCGGCCCGCCCAATTTCAGGCTCACCTAGGCCTGGACTTGGCATCGCTCGGACGTGTGTATGACTTTCTCGGCGAGGACCATCGTGGAGCATCTGGGCTCATCACGCGAAAACATTTCAAGCGCGAATCCGAAAAATGCACGGGGAATGGACGTCCGAGTGATGGCAAGTGAACCAACACATTGCTACACCACCATCCGTTGGGAAGCTTGTCCCTGGGAGGATGCGCCCTCTCGTCCGTTGCGGGCTCCAGAAGTCCTCCTCCTCTTCCTCCTCTTGTTCTTCTTCTTCACCCTCCTCCTCCTCTTCCGTATCCTCCTCCATATCCTCCTCCTCGTTCTCCTCCTCCTCCTCCGTCTCCTCCTCCTCCTCCTCCGTTTCCTCCTCCTCCTCCTCCTCCTCTTCCTCCTCCTCCTCCGTTTCCTCCTCCTTCTCCTCCTCCTCCTCTTCCTCCTCGTCCTCCTCCTCTTCCTCCGCCTTCCTCTCCTCCTCCCTGTCCTCCTCCCTCTCCTCCTCCTCCTCTCCTCCTCTCCTCCTCCTCCTCCTCCTCTTCCTCCTCCTCCTCCTCCCTCCTCCTCCGTCTCCTCCTCCCGCCTTCTCCGCCTCCTCCTCCGCCTCCTCCGGCTCCTCCTCCTCCTCCTCATCCTCCTCCTCCTCTTCCTCCTCCTCCTCCTCCTCCTCCTCCTCCTGTTCCTTCCGTAGCCATTTTGGCTCAAGGCTCCATGCTTTGGTGGGCTGCGCCCACTGGCATCCAACGGATACCGCTGTTACCGCGGCTGCTTTCAGCTTCTCCGCCTGGTTCGCCCCAGGTGCGGAGCTCTGCTTCAGTTTGCAGAGCCGCCAACTCATGGGCCGCGGCGGCGGCGACAAGGGCGCTCATGGCGGGGCCTGCGGCAAGGGCAAGGACAAGTCGGGCTCGTTCGTGGCTTGTACGCACTGCTGTTACCGCTGGAACTTCAAGTCCAATCACTGGTGCTACCAGTGCTGCTCGCCGCTGGTGCCGTACCCGTCGGCCGACAAGAAGCCAGCGGGCCAGTGGACGTTCGGTCCGCCAGCGGTGGCCTCGAGCCCCTTCGCGGACGCCGCCGCCGAGGCCGCCGCGACGCCGCCGCAGGGGAGCAAGGGCCCGCCAGTCCCGAAGCGCGGCGCCAAGGGCGGCCAGCCCAATCGTCGGCCCTGGGTCTGGCACGGGCCTGGCTGGTACCCTCACGGGGGTGGCCCGCCCCCAGCGCCCGAGGCGGAGGTGGCTCAGGCGGCGGACCCACTCGCGGCCTTGCGAGCCGAGCTGGGGGACTGCGCCGAGCTGGAGGCCATCGCCGCCAAGAGGGACGCGGCCAAGTCTCAGCAGGCCGAGCCCGCCCCGCGTCGACCGCCGCTGTTGGAGGAGGAGGTGTCCACCAAGGGCATCGCGTGCAGGCGTGCGCAGGCGTGGCTGGAGACCTGCGCCGCCCGTGTCGTCGAGGGGGAGGCGTGGCTGGCCGCCGCTAGGTCCGCGGAGGACGACGCCGCGGCGGCGGCGCATCAGGCCCAGCTCGATTGGGAGGAGGCGTGCCAGATGCAGCTGCCGTCGCCCCCCTCGAAGGCGAGGAGGACAAAGGCCAGGCACCCGCTACTTCGGCCATCAACCTCTCCACGCTCGTTGACGAGGGCACGTTGCAGATCGTGGACGGGCCGCTCTTCGACATGGAGGGGCTCGAGATCGACAGCGGTGACAAGGACGAATGGAACCGCATCGAGGCAGAGCTCGCAGCCAGCGTCCAGGAGAAGGTGCAGCAAGCACTGGGCCCAGCCGCTGAGCAGATCGTCAAGCTCCGCGAAGAGGCCAAGCAGCTGCACGCCAGGATGCAGGCCAAGCGGCGCCGCGGGCCCGACGGCGAGGCCTCCGCTGCCGCGGGTGCCGCGGCCGCGGCGGGCGGCGCTGCAGCCGCCCCTGCCGCCCCTGCCGCTGCTGCTGATGGCGTGGGCGTGGCAGTGCGCGACCTCAGCGGCCCTGAGGCAATGCGCGCTGCCGCTCGTGCCAAAGCAGCTCAAGCAGCCGAGCGCAGGGCCAATGCAGAGGCCGATGCAGCAGGCTCCTAGCCTCGCTCGGGAGCCTCTGCCGAATCAATCCAAGCACAAGGATCCTGTGCGGCGGCGCGCGAGACAACACCGCCAGGAGTTAGAGCGCCGCCTTCGAATGTACTCCCAGCGGTGGCTGCGGAACCCCCAGGTTCTGGATGAAGAGGGCGATGCGGCGCACTTCATGGCGCTGGGAGTTGAGTACGTGGCAGAGTGGCTGGGTCACCATGAATTACGCCATTTCATCGACGATGCCCTCCTGATCGCGGGGCACGACAATGCAGACATCGTCCAGAGGGAGCTCGCCAGGGACATTTGCGCTGCAGCATGGAGAGCGAGGAAGCACCTCCGCTTGAACTACCACAAGTGCCTGCAGCGCCTCGAGCTGACGGACCGTGAGGCGTGGGAGCAGGAGCTTGCACGCCACGGGGAGACCATGGCGACTGCTATCGAGCTCTTTGAAGAGCGCCCACCGCCACCCATACGGCAGGCAGACACCAGCACCGAGTTCGTTGTCGAGCTCCCCTTATGCGGCAGGCCCTATTTACGAGGCGCCGCCGTGGCTGGTGAGACGTCGCCACCCCTTCCGCGGCCGGCCAACAGTAATCTTCTTCCTGGTCACGGTGGTCAGGCCGACCGCGAAGGCCCCCCCTCGGCTACGGCCATCGAAGAGGGTAAGGGCAGATCGCCTTCGTCATCGGCGTCGCCCAGGTGTTCGCCTACAGCGGCTGGCGCAGCTATGGCCGCCGCCGCCCCCCCCCTGGAGTGGGGAGCGAGCCGCGGCGCATGTGCCAGTACGGATCCGTCTTCGACGATGTCCACGTGTGCGCCAGCTTCCTCGGCTACTCCGATTGCGACCTGGGCGTCGTCTTCTTTCTCTACTCCAGTGGAGTTGACGTCGAGCCCTACAGGCGTTATAACGCAAATCCCGATGCTCCTCGAGTCGGGTTCAACGTCGCAGCTTTGCCAGGGCGTTAGAGCGCAAATCCCGACGCTGACGTTGGGTTCACAGTCGCCACAACCGCCTCTCGACACGGGTGCCGAGGAGCCAGGCGTTAGAAAGCAAATCCCGATGCTCCTCGAGTCGGGTTCAACGTCGCCGTTTTGCCAAAGCGTTAGAGCGCAAATCCCGACATTGATGTCGGGTTCACAGTCGCCACCGATCGGAACGGACGCTGAGCCACAAGGCGTTAGGACGCAAGTCTCGCCCAAGCGGGCCCCAGCGTCAGCTGGCGACGAGCCGAGGCTCGACGAGGGGCACCACGACCCGTTCGACGACTTGGGCCAGGGGCTCCAAGATGCGGACGACGATGCTCATGCGCTACGTCAAACCGACGCTCCTGGACCCGAACCGTCGGGAGCCACGGCACCCCCAGCCGCCGAAGAGCCCCCACGGTTACCTCCAGCTCCGCCCTGGAGCCCTTTGGCACCTGGCAAGAGGCAGTCTGACCATGCTCGCATCTTCTTTGGCAACGTGACAGAATGGGGGCCCAAAGCCCAGGGTTTCTCACGAGGGGTGGACCAGCAGTTCGAAGTGTTGGCACTGGCGGAGACACACGTCAGCCCCTCGCAGATGCCGAAGGCCCAGCTCGACTGCCTCAAGGATGGGTGGAAGCTCGCGGCCACGCCCGCCGAGGCCTCAGTCAAGTCCGAGTCGGGCACCAGAGGGGGCGAGTGGGTGTTGGCCAAACAACACCTAGCCACCACAAGTTGGGAAGCCCTTCGCAAAGCTGGACGGCCCTTCCGCGGCTTCTGTCCGCTCACACTGCACTGGCGGAAGGGCAACGTGGTCATTATCTCAGCGCACCTATTTCCAGGGCACAAGTTGGGCGGCGACAATAGCCCAAGGGTGAAGGCACGCACGGCCTTCCTGGGCACCCTCGCCGACCCGTGGATTGTCATGGCCGACTGGAACATTTGCCCCCAGGTGCTGAAGCAGTCAGGTATTCTTGGCCTATGGGACGGGGAGATAGTAACTCCCAGCGACGTTGAGTCCACCTGCACCAAGGGCGACAGCGCCTCCCTCATCGACTACTTGGTGGTCAAGCGCGGGTTCCACGAGCAGGTGCAGGTCCAGGGTTTCTTAGAGGTGCCTTGGCGCACACATATCGGGCTGGATATACAGATCTCTGATGCGCACAAAGATTGGTGGCATCAAGTGGTTACCCTGCCGCAAGCTTTACCTCCACGCGACCGCCCGAGGCGGCAGGCCGACCCCAATAGCAAGCGCCAGAAGCAGCTGGAGGAAAGGAGGATCGACCGTCGGCAGCGGCTACCCGACGAGTTGCACGAAAGTTTTGACGAATTGCACCCTCCGCCTGACACTCCTGGAAGTGCGGCTGCTTCGGTCCCCTTCTACGTCCCCTCCGAGACCTGGGACCTGTGCTGGCAGGAGCCTGCGGATACGGTGCCAATCAGTTTGTTGGACCACAGTGTCGCCTGGGCAGTCCCCCGCAACAAGGACGCGGTCGCGGCTCTATCGGTACGGTACTGCCATTGGGTATCCACCGTCGAGCAGGCGATCCTGACC